TGCTTAGGGGGCAGGGGCCTGGAAGCGCCCGCACACAGGCCCTGCCTCCAGGCAGGTTGATCTTTGCGGGGAGGAGGCAGGTTCAATCATTTGTTCATTAACCCCAGGCGCTGACTGAGAACGTACTGTAAGCAGGGGGGAAAGAGGGGAGGGCCTTAAGGGGCTCGCAGCCTACGCAGGGTGCCCTGAACCCCATCTGCTGGCTGTTATTTAAATTCATTTCCTCCAGTTTTATTGAGAAGTAATTGACATACATCCCTGTATAAGTTTACGGTGCGCAGCACAGCATGATGGTTTGATTTACATATGCAGCGGACCTTTGAACAACACAGTTTGAACTTAGGGAATCGACTTAGACGTAAATTTTTTTTTCAATAAATGCACACTAGGTGGTACACTCTAGCTCTGCCATGGAGAACTGTGGGTGGAGAGGGCCGACCGTAAAGTTATATGTGGATTTTCCCACTGTCCTAGGGGTCAGTGCCCCTAACCCCTGCTGTTCAAGGGTTTAAAGCACAATAGGTTTAGTTGTCAACCATCATCGTGTGTAGATAGAATTAAAAAAAAAATTTCTTCTTGTGATGACAACTCAGGGTCTACTCAATGAGTCTCCTGTGTGTCAAACAGCACTGTTAACTAGCCATCAAGTTGTGTATTACATTCTTAGCACTTACTTATCTTATAACTGGAAGTTTGTACATTTTAACTACCTTCCTCCAATTCCACCCCCACCCCCTGCTTCTGATAACCAAAATATGATCTTTTTCTACGAGTTTGGTGGTTTTTCTAAATTCCACATGTAAGTGAGATCATATAGTTTTTGTCTTTCCTGCTGGTTAAGTTTGCAGATAAGAAGATAGTTCTCTTGGAAATATTGGGGAATTTGGGGTGCACTGCTGGCCTGTGGGATTCAGGCCACAGGAGGGACAAAGGTCTCCAGGCCTGGCCTGGGGAAAACAGTGTTCCCAGACAGCAGGGCAGATCAGGGAGACTTTGGGAGGCACGGGTGTGTTGACTGGATTTTGAAGGGTGGGAACGGGGGACCCCAGGAAGGGGGCCTGGTCTTATGGCAACTGGGAAGTAGGGAAGGGGGCAGAGTGTCCAGAGAGGAGAGTGGCTCGAGTGGTGCGAGACTGATCTCGGGGACCACACATCGGCTAAGGCTTGACTGCATTTGGTGGGGGACCTCAGCGGGGTGGCCTGGGGGTGGGACATAATTGACGATAACTATAGTGGACATAGGGAGACGGCAGTGAGAGAAAATGGCATTTCTCAGGGCGATTCTAGATCCACTGGCTGGGAAAGAGGGGACATAGGGAAGTCCTGTTGAGAACAGGCTGAGTGCAAGTCTTCCGCAAAGATGCTGAGGACTGATGGATTCTGCATTTGCCGTGGGGAACCGTGAGGTCCCCTTCCCTGAGTTATAGCTTCCTGGAGACTGGAGATGGAGTGAGATGGCCCTGGCAGGGAGGGCGTCATCCTCGGTGCACACTTGGGACCCACTTGCTCTGTGGGTTTGGTCTTCTATTGTGTGTGTGCCCACTACACCCATGGGAGGGTTCTCCTGTCTGTCTGAGATTTTTTTCTGATTATTATTAAAAAAACTTTTTCCTGGTCTTTTTTGTACATATATTTATGTTAATTTTTACTTATTTATTTTAAAATATTTTCCCTCTTAATGGAGGCACTGGGGATTTAACCCAGGACCTTGTGCACACCAAGCACATGCTCTACCCCTGAGCTAGACCCCCACTACCATGTCTGAGATTTGTTGAATGAATGAATGATCACAGAGGCCAGTGACAGGTGTTAGTGGGTCTCAGTGTATGCTGCCTGCAGGGCACCATGCACAATTACATCTTCAGCAAGGGCTTTTTAATGAGGCTGGGCCAGGAGGCAAGGACTGGTGTCCCCAAGGACAGGGGGGACAGGCTGAGCTGCCTTTCCCCTGGCTCTCCACTGTCTGCCCAGCTCAGAGCACTGGAGTCTGGATCTAGCTCTGCCAGTAAGTCACTGTGAGGACTGGGGCATGTACTGCCACCCCCTCCATCTATTCCGCCATGGTCTGTTGAGCACACACCATGTGCCACCCCCAACTCCTGGCAAGTGCCATGGAGAAACAGGCACTGCCTCTGCCTTCCTGGAGCTCCCCATCTGAGAGGAAAGGCCCACACTGCCAACGTGGTGAAATAAAGGGCACTGGAGGACCACAGTGAGTGGAGAGGTGGCAAACGGCCAGATGGGTTCCCCAGCTGATAGCGCCCAGGGGAAGCCAACCTCATCTGTGCTGACATCTTCAGAGCCGTGTCCTCTCTCTGTGCCTGTTTCCTCTTCCGTAGGTGACGGTAGAAGGCTCCTAGTATTTCCTGCAGACTAAACGTCCATACCTCTATAACTGACGCCAGTTCCACCTGCCGCATCCATCCCGCAGAGGAGGTAAACAGGTCAGTGATGCCCTCTCCCGCCCCTCCCTGCACACGCCCCCACCCTGGGAGTCTGGGCTTGCAGAGGCCTCAGACCAACCTTGGAACCTGGGGTCTGCCAGAGGCCCAGCCATCTCAGATCTCAACCCAAAATCTTCCCCAACAAACCTTGTGATGGTGCTTAGAGGGCCTGGAGATTCTTCGGTAGGTGAGGGAAATCGTTGCAGTGTTCTCACCAGATGCGTGATGTAGTCAGAAGTGCACTCGAGAAAGGTCCCACTGGCCTCAAACCCACTCCTGTAGGGAGCCACCCAGGTGGATTTCCACCCTCATGGCCTCGCTCACCTCCTCTTCTTCTCCCTGAAATGCTTGTCCTCTCTGCATCTGGCTGAATACCCTGGCTGGCTCTTTTAAGAATCATCTCAGGGTTAGGGTATAGCTCAGTGGCAGAGTGGATGCTTAGCATGCATGAGGTCCTGGGTTCAGTCCCCAGTACCTCCACCAAAAAAAAAAAAAAAAAAATATATATATATATATATATATACATATATATGTATATGTGTATATATATATACATACATATATATGTATATATATAAAATTTAGAAAAGCTCTACTACAAAAAAAGCCTTGTACAAGAATGTTCATAGCAACTCCATTCACAGTAGCCCCAGACTGGAAGTAGCCCAGATGTCCATCAAGTGGAGACAGGATCAGCAAATTGCTGTGATCATCTGATGGAACACCAGTGCTCAGCCCTAAATAGGAGCAAACTACTGATGGGTGTGACAACGCAGTTAAATTTCAAAAATGATATGTTGAGTGGAAGAAGCCAAACGCAAAGTACCAACCGTACTTCACGAATGTGAAATTCTAGGCTAGGCAAAGCGGGCCTCTGGTGATAGAAACCAAATAAGCGGTTGTTGTTTGGGGAGTGGCGAGGCCGGGAGGGGTTGACTGAACTCGGCTCACACAGTGTGGCTTCTTCTCACAGCTGAATTTCCTAGAACCCTCCATCATTCCTCAGAAGCCTCTCAGTCACCCCTCAACTGCCACGGGTGCCTCACACTCTCTGTGCTTCCAGCCTGCCTCCCTGCTTTTCCTTTCATGCTGCATTCCCCACTTAGGGGACAATAGGAGCAGCGGCCACCAGGCTCAGAGGCCACCGAGTCATCTCCCGTGGCTGCTGAGCCCTGAGAAAACCACTCTGACTGATCCAGGGAGTGAAACTGGGGAGTTGCC